ATGCCTCAGAAGACAACTTGCACCTCTGGAGGATCACAGTGGAAGGGTCATGCTGGGAAGGAGAAGCTGGAGTCACCTGAAAACTCAATGGATGTTGTGACCTTACTATTTGTATGGTCAATGGGCCCTATTAATTCCTCTCAATCCCCACAACTCCTAGCACTTAATAATCCCCAAAACTTTCTCTTCTGCAGGTCAAGAGAAAGGATTTCTGAGGTCAGCTCTGGAAGTGGAGTTAGGAGCTTCTAACCTGTCGTGATTTCAATACACATTCTTCTTTCACCAGTGCTTCTGAAGAGCTGCTCTTGCCCCTCTGCGCCTCTTAATATCTGCCCCCTATATGCATGCACAGCTGCACACTCAGGGCTGAACTCTCCCTAACCCAGGGGGACTCTAGCATCCCTAAGTGACTGAACCAATAAAAATGTTCTGGTCTGGCCTGACTTTGACTTGTGAGTGTCTGGATAGTTCCTTGGCTGTCTCTAAACTCCCTGTGACTCTCGCACTCAATCAGGATAGAAACCAGAGGTATTCGAGAAAAATGGAGACTCTTTACATAATAGGGGTGAGGGGCCCACCTTGAGATCAATAGCAGAGATTAATCCAATGTAAAAGGCAGTGATGGAAGGTGAAGAGGTTACTCCTAGAATAATCTAGGAAGACACAGATGTTGAGTATAGGAATTTTCTACATCCAACTATACTGTTCTGCAGGAAAAAAGTGCTCAGAGGAAGAGCCAGTCCACACAGGTGTGTTCGCCCTCCAGCTGGCCATGTCCCCATGACGAACAAAGCTGGATTCCGCATGCATCAGCCACCTTCCTTGCAGCCCTTCCTGAGCACTCCACTCATCCTCACTGGTTCACCAAGTTGATTTCCCAGCTCTGAAGAAGAGATGCTCTGACTTGGAAACTTACTTTTAATGGGAGACGTGTCTTCCAGTTTAAGTTACAAATCCGTTTATAAATTTCTCTCTAGAATTAAATGGGTATGAAAATGTCCCCTGATCACTCATGGAAGGATGGAAAATAAAGTTATCTAACACAGAGAATCAGCCTATTCCTACTTCTAGAATTCTTTCAAAAGCTCTCCTTGTCTCACTGTCACCATGGTGATGGAGTCCCAAATCCTAAAGGTGGCACAGAAGACTGGGTGATTATCCCTGCCTCCTTCCACACTCTCCTCACTTCTCTCATCCTGGAAGCCCCTGAGCTGCTTCTTTCAGGCCATTTTGCACATGCTCTTCTTCCTGGGGGTAACAAAGTACTCTTGTTCCCACGATACCTCCTGTTTAGACGTAAAGATTTAGCTTCAATGTCTTCCCCTCCAAAAAAGCTTTCTCTGGCCCTTTCTTGCCCCTACCTTACCTCTTCCTCCCCTGAGAATAGATTAAATACACCCTTTATTTTGCTTTCACAGTGCCTTGTACATAATCTTCTTTGTGACACACCCCACTTGCTGGAAATTACCTCTTTGTCTGACACCCCCGGGACTATGAGCTCCTTGTTAACAAGGAGGCATTTTATGATAGTGCCCCAGGGCTATGGTATGGTACCTCAGTTCAGTGTAGACACCATATAGGCTATGTTTGAATAAATAAATGAATAAATGAGTGTACCCAAAATGACCCAGTCCAGGAGGAATCATCACCATAAGTCCTGCCTGAAGTAGCTGTTATCCTTCAACTTACAGGACTACACCACACAGTCTTCCCTCTTTATTGCAATACATACATGCACTCAAAGATGTGTGTGCATGTATGCACACGTGTGAACATATATGTTTATATTTACACACATGTGCACACATCATTCATTAAACACATATCACTGCAATGTGTTGTCATCAACTTCCAAGAAAACTAAGATTCCCAAATTGCAGTCCCCAAGAAGTTTACCTGTTCACAGAGATACTCGTTTATGAACAGAAAGAGCCGAATGCAAGTCAATGTTTTGAAGGAGCAACATGAAGTGCTGACTAACACGCAGTCAGAGTGGCCCTCAATTCTGCCAGGGATAGTCAGCGAAGAGTCTGAGAAGGTGGCAATCTCTTCGAAGGAAGAACTGGCCTCAGTTGTTCACTCTAGAGAATGGCCATGCTGGTCAGAGGCAAGAACAAAAGCCCTGATGACATGGTCGGTACCTCTGGGTACCATTTCACTGGTTGCAAGGGTCAGAAGTGGGAGGAACCAAAATTAGAGCTGAAAAGGCAGGTTGGTGCCTGCCACTCTGGGGATAAACTTACTTCCATGCAACCAGTATGAAACCTGCACGTGGTGGATGTTCACTAAACACTTGTGGAGTAGATGAAGAATATGGAGTTTGGACTTTGTTCAGGAAGCAATGGGAAATTATAGAGGTTTCTGGACTGTTTATCCTCCTGTGATAAGGTGCCATCAACTACTCTGTGGATTTTCCTATGAGCTGCCCTGCCACCCCTCGCTCCTCCCACTCACTTCACTATAAATGCCAGTCTGAGCAGGTGGGCCCAGTGAGGCCCCACCAGGGAGACCCAATGACATAGATGTTCTGCTCAGGGTGATGCGTGTTCCAAGGAGGGCCCTCTCTACCCTCCAGCGTTACCATCACTGTGACTTTCCCCAAGCCCTTCCCATTTTAATTTTACTGCCTTTGTCTTTTCTAAGCCCCACACAATCAGACTAACGTCTGCCACCTGCACTTCCTGCATCTGCCCAGTGGTTGGGGGAGGGGGACTAGCAGGGAGGAAACATTTTTGTATCATGGTGTAACATTGTGGGGGCTGGGGGGGAGCACGATGATTCAGGTAGAGGAGGTGCTTTTACAAAAAGTCTTGCAGCAGTAAACATCCCCACCCTGTCCAGGGAATGCAGCAACCAGGCGGGGAGAGGTCTCTAGGGCTGGTCCCAGCTGTGGTCTGGCAGAGGCCCCCAACCCAGCGAGCACCTGTGCATCTCCCTGTCCTAGACTCAGCTTCCCAAGAATGAGAAGGCCAAGACAGCAAAGTGAGATCATCGTTCAGCGCTTCTAATAAAACTTGCTCTTGACAAAGTACTTGCATATGAATTATTTATTAAGAACTGACGAAAACCCTGAGGGAAAGATAGTGTCACATTTTTCAGATGAAGAAACCGAGGTCGGAAGGTTATAGGTCATATAACTAGGAAGAAGCAAGGTCTAACCTGCAACATTGCCCAACTCCAGCCACTCCAGTGCCATTAATGCCCCTTCAGATTTCAAATCCACTGTATTGTCCCCAAGCCAAGTGGATTCTCCTCTGCAAATGGGTGGTGACTTCATGCAAGATCCAGGTTACCGTGTCCAGCTAACTCAGACAGGAAGAGATGGGCTCAGGAAAGAGAGGGAGGGTGTGCCCCAGGCTGTGCTAAGGGAGGTGGGAAGGAGAAGGAATTCTGGGCAGCCCGTTCCCACTGTGCTCCTACGGTGAGCAGTTCTTCGGGCCAGGGACACGGCTCACCGTGCTAGGTAAGAAGGGGCTCCAGGTGGGACAGAGAGTGGGCTGCCCAGCCTGGGCGACCCCAGAACCTGTCCTTAGGGGAGTGGATACTGGGCCATCCGGGGCCCTCCTCGGGAAAAGCGGGGTTTGCACCAGGGTCCCCAGAGCTGTGCGAACACCGCACAGCTGGTCTTTGGAGAGGGCTCTAGGCTGACCGTGCTGGGTAAGGAGGCCCCTGGGGTCCCGGAGCGCTCCAAGGGGGCAGGATGGGCAGAGGCGAGCAGCAGCCCTACTCTGAGAGGGGCTGTGCTGAGAGTCGCCGCTGGGCGCCTGGGCCGGGGACCCCTGGTTCTGCGTGCTGGGAGGGCGATGGGGCGCTCAGCGGTGGGAAGGACCTAGCTGAGTCTGGGACAGCAGAGTGGACGGCGCCAGTTTTTGTCCTGGGCCTCCAGGCTGTGAGCACAGATCCGCTGTATTTCGGCCCAGGCACTCGGCTGACCGTGCTCGGTAAGCTGGGGCGCCCGTGGAAGCCAGGGACCCGGGGAGGGGAGCTCCGGGACGCCGGGGGCATCGCAGGGCCAGTTTTTGTGTTGGGCCCGGGGGCTGTGAGCCAAAACACTCAGTACTTCGGCGTGGGGACCCGGCTCTTGGTGCTGGGTAAGCGGGGGCCGCCGGGGTACCGGGGCCGGGACGGCGCTCGGGTTTTTGTGCGGGGTTCGGGGGCCGTGCCAAGAGACCCAGTACTTCGGGCCAGGCACGCGGCTCCTGGTGCTCGGTGAGCGCGGGCTGCAGGGGCGCGTGCGCGGGCGGCTTGGGTCTGGTTTTTGTGGGGTGCCCCCGGGCTGTGCTCTGGGGCGAACGTCCTGACTTTCGGGGCCGGCAGCCGGCTAACCGTGCTGGGTGAGTTTCCGCGGGGCCACCCGGGCGGCGGGGTCCGGGGGGAAGGCGGCGGCGGCGGCGGCGGCGGCGGCGGCAGCGGCTTCGCGGCACCCGGTCCCCCCAGCCCTGAGCTGGGAGACCTGGGCTGGGTACCCCGGGTGGGCAGGAGCTCGGGGAGCCTCGGGGGTTTGCGTGCGGGGCTGCGCCTCTGTGTTCCTACGAGCAGCACTTCGGGCCGGGCACCAGGCTCACGGTCACAGGTGAGATTCGGGCGTCTCCCCACCTTCCAGCCCGTCGGTCCCCGGCCTCGGAGGGCGGACGGGAGTTGGAGGAGCTGGGAACCCGGGGTCAGCTCTGCAGCGTCACCTTCCAGCTCCTGGGGAAAGACGGGGGGAGGGGGGGTTGCTGCTCGGAGTCCGGAGAGCTGGGCAGAGGACGCCCACTTTTAATCTTTTTTTCTGGGGTGTTTGGAGAGAAGGTGAGCGATGGAAAAGGAGAGGATTTGTTAGGTGTCTGGGAGAAGCGAGACTGGAGAGGACCAAGGAAAAGGATTGGGTAGGAGCGGGTGTAACTGCTACTCAGAGGCAGAAAGAGCTGGGCGGGCTGGGAACCGCGCGGGTGGGCAGGGGTCAGCACTTCGGGCGGGCGGGTGGGTGTCAGGGGGCAGAAATCCTGCAGCCGAGGGTTCAGTAGAAAAAAGAAGAAAAAGCCTTCCAAACAAGAGTGGAACGGAGAGGTCAAAAAGAGAGATGAGCATAAGTCAGCAAAGAAAAGAAAGTTTACTGTTTAGCAGTGTAGATCTATAATTCTACTTAAAACTCCTGTTCCTGGTTCCTATTCCTCCTAAACCAGAGACCCCTGAGTGCAGGGTGAGGGCACAGCGTTCACACTTGCCATGGGCTGATCAGCAAAGAGGTGCTGGCCTGAGAGTGGGGCACATAACCTCAGCCACTGGGGTACACTTACCACCCCCAACCCGTGTAGCTCCCCTCCCCTGTCCTGAAATCTCCCTTTATCACACGAAGCATTCTAGGTTGAACAGCCACATGTTCAGGGAGTTCATTTTCCACAAACACACATTAAAATGCAGATATTTTTGCCTGCAAGATGAGGAAAATTCTCCGGAAGATTTTGGGCCCTGAGAGCTGCAAAGGGACCCTACGCATCACCGGGTGATGACTGCCCTGAGGCCAGAGGAGCGAACTCACAATAGTGGTACATTAACCTTCACTATTTGTAGTTAGGCTGTCATTAAGCTGGGTGGAATGGGGCTCAGCTACAGTGATGTGTATCCAGAGAAAATGTGGGGTTCCTGCAGTCAGCTAGGGTGCAGAAAAGACCCTGACTTTAGAACCAGAGGAAGGCTGAGTTGAACCTCTGGCTCTTTTGTGATGTGGTGACCTCGGGCAAATTAATGTGTGAACCTCAGTTTCCTCAACTATAAAATATAATGAACAATACCTACCACTTACTATTGCTGTGAAGAAGAAAAGAGGATCGACATGTAGAGTGCACAGATTATTGATGTAATTCAGTGCTCCTTTTCCTCATCCTCCCCTAGGAGGTCACTGGGGAGGCAGGGACAGGGTCAGCCCAGTGGCAAAGAACAGGCAGGATCTGGAATGTGGACATGGAGTAAGGCTGTGTCTGTGTCAGAGGTGGGTTGGGAAGAGGTGAGACAAACATTACAACTTTGCCTAAGGTGAGTGCAACCCACAAGTAGAGCACAGGCAAACAGCAGCTCGTGAGTACCCACACTTCCACCAGCAGCTCACTAGTGCACACACTTATATCAGCAGCTCACTAGTACCCACACCTACATCAGCAGCTCACTAGTACCCACACACCAGCAGCTCACTAGTACCCACACTTACACCAGCAGCTCACTAGTACCCACACTTATACCAGTAGCTCACTAGTACCCACACACCAGCAGCTCACTAGTACCCACACACCAGCAGCTCACGAGTACCCACACCTACATCAGCAGCTCACTAGTGCCCATACACCAGCAGCTCACTAGTACCCACACACCAGCAACTCACGAGTACCCACACACCAGCAGCTCATGAGTACCCACACCTACATCAGCAGCTCACTAGTGCACACACACCAGCAGCTCACTAGTGCACACACTGACACCCACAGAGACAAGCCCCACAACACCAGGACTCACAAACACTGAAGGAGAATTGACTCTGCCCTCATGTACAGATAGTGTGTTGGTTATAGTGAGGGGTAGCTAGTGTTCACCAAGCCCACTGCATCAATAGCTGTTCTACAAAACAGCATACATGGTCAAGGGACATTTTTAATTTTTACAATGGGGACTGAGTGTTTGCTAAATGAAGGGATCAAAGGAGTGCATTCTGGAGGATGGGTAGACTCCCAGAGCCAGGGTTTTTGAGATGAAAGTGAAAATAAGCAGGCTGAGAGCAGAAAGAACAAAAGTTCTGCAGATAGAAGTTAGGATATTACCATTTCAGCCCCAGCTCAGCAAGTAAAGACTTACAAGCATAATAGTAACTAGCAAGGTAGGAGTTGTGGGGTGGGAGGGAAACTGACATGATGGGAAGCAGGACCAGCTCGAAGTGAAAATGCGGGGGCTCTTGTTAAAAAACGACTTAGGATTTTGAAATGGTGACAGAAGAGCACTAAACCAAGCAGGGGGCCCTACTAGCAGGAGGCCCCATGGGGACCCAGGAAGGAAGTCACATCCATAGCAATGTGAATAATTGTCAGAAAAAATTTTCTCCATGGTCCAGGAGATTCGGAATAGGTTCTCCTAGGAATGATATTTCTTCATTTTAACAGAGTTGCTCAGAAATGAAAAATAATCAATGGGAAGAAAAAGAAAAAAAAAAAACAAGATGAGTAGGAGGGCAAGCTCCTAAGAAGTGATTCAGCCAAATGAGAAAGGTCCTCAGGGATTAAAGGGGATGCATTCACATGTCATCCCTAAGAATCTACAAAGAAGATGCTCAGGATAGGAACTGTATCAACAACTAGTAGCAAGAAGTTACTCTGATGATATCAGATGTCTATTTGGGAAACTTGCTAGTAGAAAAAAATACAAATAATATTTGGATGCAAAGGGACACAGAAGGTTGAGGAGTCCCTAATTTTGAAATAAAGGGAGATTACTATCTGTCTGAGCTGAGAAAACTTAGGGGTACTTGGAGGCAGAGGAATGAGTAAGATGACTTCATGCACAACAAAAAGAAAAAAACCTCACATTCTCGTGAACACACTGGAAAACCAAAGGGTGTCCTCATGTAAGCGCAAGAGCATGCCATCTGTAAATCTAAGGAAAGCTCCCAGTTCCAAAATGTCTCCCTCATCCCAGATTCCCCTCCATTCCTGAGCACCTTAGATTTGATATAAATAACCCACTTGGGAGGGGGCTTTTTGAATCTGTATGTAGTTTAACCTTCACACACGTTCTGCAAACTCAGTGTGGTGATTCTTACTTCACAAGCAGAAAAAGGGTGATAGGAATTGCTGTCTTAAAAGTCTCATTGGCGGACAAACAAAGTTCTAGGATTTGGATCTTGTTTTTTCAGATTCCAACCGTTTGCTCCAGTTAAAAAACTACCACATAAAATGGTGAGCAGTAGGCAGGCAAGTTTTTATTGATGGTGAGAAAATCAAATAATGTCAATGAAGAGACACTGCCTAGAATGTTAGGGAGTACCTAATTGGGTGATGGAAAGAAAATGGACATTGCTGACCCATAGGGTGGATGCAAAAGACAGGCAAGGAAGAGGTAGACAAATCAGAAAGGAACAGGCTGGTGACCCCAAAGCAGCAAGGACCTAATACAACATAATTGTGCTTCATTATGGCCTTTGCCAGCCCTCTCTCTCTCATGCACACAGAGCCCCTACCAGGACCAGGCAGCTCTCAGAGCATCCCTGGCCCCAACCCCTCTTCCCTTTCCAGATGACCTGAACAAGGTGTTCCCACCCACGGTTGCTGTGTTTGAGCCATCAGAAACAGAGATCTCCCGCACCCAAAAGGCCACGCTGGTGTGCCTGGCCACAGGCTTCTACCCCGACCATGTGGAGCTGAGCTGGTGGGTGAACGGGAAGGAGGTGCACAGTGGGGTCAGCACGGACCCACAGCCCCTCAAGGAGCAGCCTGCCGTCAATGACTCCAAATACTGCCTGAGCAGCCGCCTGAGGGTCTCGGCCACCTTCTGGCACAACCCCCGCAACCACTTCCGCTGCCAAGTCCAGTTCTACGGGCTCTCGGAGGATGACGAGTGGACCCAGCCAAGGGCCAAACCCATCACCCAGAAAGTCAGTGCCGAGGCCTGGGGCAGAGCAGGTGAGTGGGTCCTGGGGAATGCCTGGAGGAGACTGGGTGAGACCAGATACCAGGGGAAATGGAAAGAGCCAGGTAGAGGACCAGACCAGATCCAGAAGGCAGCCAGAGTGGAGAAGGTGGCAGGATCAATGTTCACAGGGTCAGCAAACCACAGTGTGCACTTTCTCCCCAAGAAGCATAGAGGTTGAACGGGGCACCTCAAGGTCATTGTTCCCCCAGATCCTCACACCTTAGAACTCAGCTGACAGGTCTCCCTGAGAACCAGCCATACAGGTCAGCATCTGAGCGGTGTGTGTCCCATCCCCTTCCGGGGTCCTAGTTTCCTAAGATCGTAGTGACCACGTATCTGGCAATGGACCAGCATGAGAGAGACAGAACCAGGGCTACCAAAGGAGGCTGACTTTGTACTATCTGACCTACATGTGTTCATGGCTTGTGAGTCCATGACCTTAAAGTCTGTGATGGAAGGCTCAGTGTCCTCACAAAGCAGCATTCTCTCATCCATTTTTCTTCCCCTGTTTTCTTTCAGACTGTGGCTTCACCTCTGGTAAGTGAGTCTCTCCTTTTTTTCTCCATAATCTCTGCTCTGGAACCAGGGCATGGGGAATCCACGGACACAGGGGCATGAGGGAGGCCAGAGCTACCTGTCCACAGGTACCTAAATGCTCTCTGTTCTTGTCAACAGTGTCTTACCAGCAAGGGGTCCTGTCTGCCACCGTCCTCTATGAGATCTTGCTAGGGAAGGCCACCTTGTATGCTGTGCTTGTCAGTGCCCTTGTGCTGATGGCCATGGTAAGGAGGAGGGTGGGATCAGGCAGATGATGGGGGCAGGATATGGAACATCACACGTAACCATAAGGGAATCTCAGCATAATATATCCTGTCATGTCAATGAAACCATAATGGACTGCCAGGCTGGGGAGAAAATGCAGGTTATCTGACAGAATGCATCTCTGGAGGATGGAGAGAACCAGAGAACCCTACTCAAATGAAGCCTCAGAGCCCGCCTCCTCTGCCCTACTCCTGCTACTTCATAGGCTCTGAGACTCTGAAGACGTCCTCTCTTTTGCAGGTCAAGAGAAAGGATTCCTGAGGCCAGCTCCAAAAAACCATCCCAGATTATTCTTCATCCTCACCCACGATTCTCCTGTACCTGCACCCAATCTGTGTTCCTAAAAGTGATTCTCTCTGTGCTTCTCATTTACTTCTTACATGAATTCTTCCCTCTTTCTTCTGCTTCCCTGAAGATTGAGCTCCCGACCCCCAGGTTCGAAATAGACTAAACAAATAAAAATGGTATGCTGGGCCTGGTTGCGTTTCAGAAGTGTCTGTGGAGTTCTGCCCGTCGCTGACCTACTTCTGATTTAGGGAAAGCAGCACCCCCTTGGGCATCCAAAGTGACTAGCCCTCTTTCTCTCCACCCAATGTGGCTTTCTTTTGTTCATCTTGATGGAGGTTCTCAAATACCATGTCCATATCGAGGCATTCTGGGTCCCCACTGGAGGGTTAGTCTGAAGGGAAATGGCTGGGCTCTGGAAAAACGGCAAGATGAGGACAGAGAGGAAGGAACACAGCAAACCATAACCCCTTGCCCAGTGTAGGACAGAGGATGGGGGCAGACCTGTGGGTAACAATGCCCAGCCATTCCCCAATTCCAGATTCAAGTGTCATATGTTACACCTTTAGTTTTATTCATGCACAGTCTTAACTTGTTTTGGGATTTGGGCTTAACATCGTGTGCTACTCTGCACGTCTAGGTTTAAATACTAGAGAAGGCAGAGTTGAGACGGCTGATATGTAAAGCCTGGGGATGAATGATTTCCTGGGAGCAAGGCACACCAAATCAGGAGCAATGGGACACAGGACCCAGTGGGAGCTGAAGGACTATGTGCAGAGTAGCCCTTCCAATGGGCTTCTTTGCTTGATGGATGGAAACCAAACCACTCCAAACACAGGGTTTGAGTGCTCCTACTTGGGCAAAGACAGTTATCCTGCCAAGGTAAATTCTGCATACAGACTCAATTCATTTTGGTAAAACACTACATGGAGGAAGAGGAGGAATGGGATTAAAGAAAAGGAGGCCTAGAATGGTGAGAGGGGCTGAGAGAGGTCATGTTGAAATTAGTTGAGGAAGACTGTCAGGGGTGAGAAGTGAAGTCTGAAAGCAGAGGAAGGGTAGGAAAGAGGAGGGAGCCCTTTGTTGAGAGCCTGCTTGCTTCAGGCCTTGGGCTGGACACTGCTACCTGTGCTGTCTGGCACCTGCACGATGATCCCAGAAGCAGGTATTATTTTCTCCACATTATAGATGTGGAAACTGAAGATTACAATCAAATAATTTATGAGTGGCAAAACCGTGGCATGTTCTGCTAAAGGTGGCAATTCTGGAAGCTTTTCCCAAGTAGTGGCCAGGATGATCCTAGAGCAGCTTCTCCCAACCTCCAGGCAGGAACCATGTAACATGCTGAAGACACCTTGATGCTTTGGTGTATTAGTTTCCCAGGCCTGCTGTAACAAAGTACCACTGGTGGGTTTCAAACAATAAAAATTTATTCTCTCCCAGTTCTGGAGACCAAAGATACAATATCAAGATGTTGGCAGGCCATCCTCTATGACAGTTCTAGCGGGGAATCCTTTCTTGCTTCTTCCCACTTCTGATGGCTTCTGGCACTCCTTGGCGTGTGCCAGCAACACTACAATCTCTGCCTCTGTCTTCACATGGCATTTTCCCCTGTGTCTCTGCATTGAAACTCCCCTTTCCTTTCTCTTTTCAAGGTGTGGTCATTGGATTTAGGACCCACCCTAAATCCAGAACAATTTTATTGAGAAATCTTAACCAATTACACCTGCAAAGTCCCTATTTCCAAATAAGGTCCCATTCTGAGTTTCTGAGTGGGCATGAATTCTGGGGGAACACTCTTCATCCCACTACCCTGGGGATCCTGGAGAAGAGGGTTCTCTGGCGGCAGCTTGCAAAAACCAGGAAAGGATGTGCCCATGGCAGGGATGGAGCCCAGGAAACCCATCACGTGCTGGTCACTTCCATCAGTCATAACTGACTAGATTGCTCAAACTGCAGTACAATATTTTGCTGGCTCTTGTTGTTGCACATGTGCTAGTTTGTTTTTATATTGGATTAAAAATCTAAAACAAGGGGGACAGGCTTTAGGTTCTAGACCAGCATTCACAAAGCATGCTTCCCACTCCTTAGGCCTGCGTGGAGGCAGCAGGCATATCCTCGTGTCTCTCACAAAGGTAGGACAGGAGGATGAGCAGCTGAGAGAACAATAGGGAGAGCAGAGTTGTGGGCGCCAGAGGATGCAGGCTGGGACTGGTGTGTTGGAGGACAGTGGTTTGTGTGGGCAGAGATGTGAGAGGCTGAGCAGCTGCAGTGCAAGATCAGAGTGGAGGTGGGGAGGGGGAAACACCTCATAGAAGAAAGATGGTGTCTGTTGGTTTGGTGGCCATCACCCTGGGGATGTGAAAAGTAAAGGCATTAGCAGATGAGAGGATGTGGGAGGAGTTTCTTGTTGGTACCCTAGGGTTTGCAACCAGACCAAGGTGAGGAATAGAAAAGTCTCCTCTGGAGGATAAAAGGCCACGTGCATTTCACCCTCTCAGTCCAGGGTAATTGACAGAGTTGGAGAGAGCTTCAAGCTCTATCTGGTCCTCCCAATCTCCTACTTGACCCAGGGCAGGTTCGTCTTCCCAAGTCTTTACAGACATTTTCTTGTCTCTCTCAAACAATACCAGGCCAGCATTCAGCACACATGCACTGAGACATGAATCTCTTCTACCTCTACCTGCCTCTTTCTCTAGAATCGAAGTGGATTCTTCTGGGCCAATTCTGGGCAACTTCTCCATTCTCAGGTAACACCGAGCAACGATAAGCTCGATGTCGGGAAATCATATAACCTATTGTAAGAATTGAGACATCATTGAGAACAAAAGGGGCCACTAGCCAGATGGGATGCTGGAGCAAGAGGAGTAAACCAGGAGTGGTCAAAAGGCCCCACCGGTGAACAGGCTCTGAGGGAGTTTCTGGGTGCAGCACTATTTCTGCAAAGGGAGGCACTAAAGGGACTCCATATCAACCTGGACTCATTGACTGGTTCAAACTTCAGGGCTGACCTAAGCATCATCCTATTAAGAAACTATGTGGTAGGGCGCGGTGGCTCACACCCTGTAATCCCAGCACTTTGGGAGGCCAAGGCAGGTGGATCACAAGGTCAGGAGTTCAAGACTAGCCTGGCCAAGATGTTGAAACCCCATCTCTACTAAAAATACAATAATTAGCTGGGCACGGTGGCACATGCCTGTAATCCCAGCTACTCAGGAGGCTGAAGCAGGAGAATTGCTTGAACCTGGGAGACGGAGGTTGCAGTGAGCTGAGATCGTGCCATTGCATTCCAGCCTGGGTGACAGAGTGAGACTCCATCTCAAAAAAGAAAAAAGAAACTATGTGGATCGAATACAGGGCAAGGCAGGGACAACAGCATTCTACACAGGTAACACCCAGTGCAGAGCGAAGCATGCTTACTTATTGAAGAGGTTTACAAGAAAAGCATCTCTGGAAGAATGCCTGGGGTACCCCACATTCTTGCTGTTACTGTGGGGTAGCTCTTAAAGAGAATTTTACCTGTGACCTTTACAGATTTATTTGGGAATCGGGAAGGAAAAGGGGGTCATCTAACTGGTCATATAATAAAAAAATTTCTTTGTGGGGTAACTGGGATTCCATGGGCATCCCAAAGCTCCAGTCACCATCACTTCCCTAGAGGAAGAATCTTCCCATCAGCACCAGTATCCATAGATTTTCCTACTACTAGCTCATTGCTGGGCTACATAAGGTTTGGGAGTGGGGATGGTTGGGAACTGCTGGGACCATCCAAAACAAAAAGGCTTTTTTTTTTTTCCTCTCCAAGGAGTGAGTTCATAATAAGAGTTTGAGATATGGGCAATGGATCCTAATAGATATTAACGTCTCTATTTCCTGCCCTGAGCCATTTCCTCATTTTTCTTCTGTAGTGACCCAGAAAGGAGGGGCGGAGATAGACTGACATCAGCCCCAACAGTGTGTGACACACAGCCCCAAATGTCCTATAGAGGAGAATCTTTGTGAGGTTTCTCTGGTTATAAATGGATGTGGGAATGAAATATTGGTGCTTTGAGACCTCTGCTGAAGCTGCAGTGTGAAAAGAAAAATGTGTTCATGCCTAGACATATTTTTATTTAGGGGCGTTGGGAGATGCTGGCAGAGATCATGGGAATGGCCAAAACTGACAGGCGAACTCAGCTTTGCCATGAACCCAGGAGTGAATCCATTTTCTGCTTCTCTGCTGATATCTTAGACTCATCACCAGGTTCACTTTTACCATGTTCCTGAAAATTCCCCTATGCCGTATAAGAAGACTCATAGTATAGAATAGCATGAAGCGTAGCCAACAGTTTAATCACAGTTCACTTCAAATGCTTGTGGCAAACTACCATGGCTTCCAAAAAGGTGACTTCTGAGCCTTGGGACCCCATAACCTAAGACTTTACCCAACCCATCTAGACACACTATATTCCCTGCCTTACTCTATTGTTGAATATTCTTTCCTCCCATCCAGAAGCGTCTCTTTTCTTGCTCTCTGTGTTTGTGAATTTGAAGTTTCCTTGTTCCCTAACATCCCTGCATCTCTGCCTGTCCTTAAGATTTACTGTGGCAGAACTTGATCTTTCCCTGAATCATCTCCCTCCAATAGACAAGATATTTTCTATTCACCATCCTCTTCTCCTACAGACTGAACAACATGTCTTTCTTCCCACCTCTATCCATAGTCTTTACCTCTGTTGCAGGTAGACTCCAGAGAGGTCATTTTGGGGAATATGGGGTCCCAGAAATGAGTGAATTGCTTCTGTAGGTCAGCAAAAAGATCTGAAAATGAGCCTACACCTGTGACTTTTTCCAAAGGATTTTCATCGGCTTGCTCTGCAACTGATCTCAACCGCCCTCCGTGAGTATGAGCATTTAATTCATTCAACATGTAAAGCTAATTCTCAGCTCCTTTTTGCTGACCTACAGTTGCTATTCACTTATCTCTGGGACCCCATATTCCCCCAGAAGCCCTCTCTCAGGTGTCTACATGCACCACAGCGCTCATATTCAGTCAAGAACCCATAAATCTATGGGAGTCAGAATCATCAGAAACTTTAAAAGTTGAGTTTTCAGAATGGGGAAAAAGCACGTAGTAGGTGGATGAAAGCATTACAGCGAAGAAGATGTTTTAATGCAGCGACCCAAGTTTAAGCCTCAGTTCTGCCATTTATCAACCA